ACGAAGTTTAAAAATTTTTAATTATTGAAATGCCACTTTGAATTTGGACTCATGCAAAATAATTTGTACTTCATAAATCAGATAGGCTGGTGCTTCTTAAACATAAGAATGTGATTTAAACCAACTGTTACTTTCATCTACTAAATAGCCGTTGGCTATTGCGATTCGGACAAATTCAGATAAAGTAAATGACTTGGTGCATTAGATACTTGAAAATACATCTTGGAGTAATGATTATTCCTTTTTAGACTGATAATAAATATGCTGCTAAATTTGCAGAGTTTGTAAAATCTGTAAAATAACTTTGAGGTAAAAATTTTGATAAACATTTTTATTCAAATTTGTTCATGCCAGAATTTTAATTATCCAAACAAATAGCTTGATTGAAATTAATCTTTTTATTGCTGGTTAACTGTATGTATCTGTAAAATAAATGTCATTCTGCAACGTGATGAAATATGTGGCTGATGTGTCTACTATTGAAATATTGAGTTGGCTTTGCTTATATTGTTATGTAAAATTGTATTCAAATTTTTGCAGTTAGCAAGGGAAACTTTATCATTTTGGATTAAGGCTTTCTCCGAAGATACCGCAAAAAGACTTGAAAACTTTGGGTTCATACAATTTAGGCCTGGAGGTAGATGTTTAAAAAACTCTTATTCTTCACTGCATTTTAATAAATTAAGTTGTGTATTATTGCAAAATATTGCTGAAAACTGTCTTCTTCTTTTCCGACAGGTGAATATCATGGAAACAATCCCGAGATGTCAAAACTGCTCCACAAAGCTGTGAGGGAAAAGAGTGAAACCGCATATTCAATTTACCAGCAGCATTTGGCCAACCGACCTGTAAATGTGGGTTGAATTTACACATTTCACGCAGAACCTCCATTAATGATGCGGTTGAGGAGTAGTCTTGAATATTCTTGATACCAAAATTGGAGCAAATTTTTATAATCATTGAATGTGATGCATGTTTTTACTGACCTGCAGGTTCTCAGGGATCTTCTTGAGTTTAGAAGTGACCGCTCGCCTATCCCAGTCGGAAGAGTCGAGCCTGCTTCCTCAATTGTCGAGCGATTTTGTACAGGTGGCATGTCGCTTGGTGCTATTTCTAGAGAAACTCATGAAGCAATTGCCATAGCAATGAATAGATTAGGCGGAAAATCAAATTCAGGAGAAGGGGGCGAGGTAAATTCATGGAATCTTGTCGAATTTCACTCAAATCAAAACGATGATGCAAAAGTTTAAATTTTACCGTTCGGCATTTTACCGTGTAATTTTCATATTTGACCTTCATTTAGGATCCAATTCGGTGGAGCCCACTTACAGATGTTGTCGATGGGTATTCTCCTACACTGCCACACCTTAAAGGTCTTCAAAACGGTGATACTGCTACAAGTGCAATAAAACAGGTCTAACTTCATTTTACACTTTACTTTTTTTTCTCTGCATTTTTCTTAGTAAAAATGGAATCTTGAAACTTATTTGTTGAACGTTTATCTGAAAATTTCAGGTAGCTTCGGGACGTTTTGGTGTGACCCCAACATTCTTGGCTAATGCCGATCAACTAGAAATCAAAATCGCGCAAGGTGCAAAACCGGGCGAAGGTGGTCAACTTCCCGGGAAGAAAGTCAGCGCTTATATCGCGAGGTTGAGGAACTCGAAGCCCGGTGTCCCTCTTATATCTCCTCCTCCACATCATGACATTTATTCTATTGAGGATCTTGCTCAGTTGATTTACGACCTTCATCAGGCAAGTAGCATGAGTTAAAATTGTGTGTATACTCGTGAAATAATAAAATCGTTATATTTCTAGAATTATGGGTTTATGTTTTATTGAAATGAATAGGTGAATCCAAGGGCTAAAGTGTCGGTAAAGCTAGTTGCAGAAGCTGGGATTGGTACCGTGGCCTCTGGAGTTGCAAAGGGCAATGCAGATATTATACAGGTATATGCCTAGAATCGTGAAATTAAGTAAGATAAACCGTGAGTGTGATTGGATATGAGATGAAAATAAATGATGGGAATTGATTTGATGTATGAGTAAAAAAATAATGATTGAATAGGATTTGCCATTTTCGTTGTAAACCAGAACGACCAATTCTAGAGCATGATCTTTTTTTTTTTTCTTCACTTTATATAAATTAGTACACAAACTTTACGGCTTGTGCAAATGTCAGCATTTTGCAAAATAATTGAAGCTAAAATATTCAAAATATAATTTTTACCTGTTTTTAGATATCTGGACATGATGGGGGCACTGGGGCTAGCCCCGTGAGTTCGATCAAACATGCTGGTGGCCCTTGGGAACTTGGGCTTACAGAAACACATCAGGTTTATTATAATTTGACATTTTGGGACATAAAATATTTTCCAAGATGATCTTTAAATTCATCGATTTTTACTTTTACCTTCCTTTAGACACTCCTTCAAAATGGGCTTCGAGAAAGGGTCATCCTCAGAGTTGATGGAGGCTTCAAAAGTGGATTTGACGTTCTAATGGCAGCAGCAATGGGTGCCGATGAATATGGCTTTGGTTCGGTTGCTATGATTGCCACTGGCTGTGTCATGGCTCGTATTTGCCACACGAATAATTGTCCTGTTGGTGTTGCTAGTCAGGTGAGAATAACTCGTGTGCATTGTTTTATCGTCTTTCTGTATATATTAGCATTTTCCTTCTATTTTATTTTATTTTTATTTTTTAAAAAAATTATATGAAAGTTGTATATTTGTCCGAGTTCTCTGCAGAGAGAAGAGCTAAGAGCGCGTTTTCCTGGTGTGCCTGGTGACCTTGTCAATTACTTCTTGTATGTTGCAGAAGAGGTAATTACTAACTAGCTTTCTTCTCTGTTCTTTGACCATAATTACAATACTACCCTTGAGGTTTACACGAAAGTGATCACTTTTGTTGACGACTTGACTTGACGTGTTTTTATTTTACATACTGTACCAAGTTGAGAGGGTGAAAATTGAAATACAGATGTGAATCTCAGTTTTTCGTCGTGACTAATTTTGAAAAACAATTGGATTTTTCTTTTGTATTAAAGCTAAACTTGGGGGATTATTGTTTAATTGTTATTAACCTATACGTTAATCTTTTGAACAGGTAAGAGGCATGCTGGCCCAATTAGGCTACGAGAAGCTTGATGATGTCATCGGCCACACTGAGCTACTAAAACGTCGAGATATCTCATTGGTCAAGACTCAGCATCTTGATCTTGGTTATATTCTTTCGGTGAGTACTTATATTAGATATTGAAATACCAAAATACCATTGATTGTTTGTTTGTTTTATTTATTTATTTATTTATTTTTGGGTTGTAGAGTTCGGGGTTACCAAAATGGAGCAGCACCATGATAAGGAAACAAGAGGTTCATAGCAATGGTCCGGTTCTTGATGATACATTGCTAGCCGACCCAGAGGTTTACCTTAATCACAAAAAAGACCGATTTTATCTTTAAAAATTACAAATATGGAAACCTACTGATACTCGTGTGAATATTACATTTTACAGCATATCTTTATAATCATTTTTTTTTTTCATCTTGACGATACAGATAGCCAAGGCTATTGACAATGAGACTGACGTGAATAAATCCGTGAAAATATACAATGTGGATAGGGCAGTTTGTGGGCGTATTGGTGGCGTAATTGCTAAAAGATATGGTGACACTGGGTTTGCTGGACAGCTGAATATAACGTATATTAATTGAACTTCTCTATATGTCTATATATGTGTATATACATATTTGTACATAAAACACAGAAAATTATGGCAGCATTGTCTTGTGGACTTATCAGGTGTTTTCGTCGATCGGTTTTACAGATTCAATGGAAGTGCTGGCCAATCATTTGCGTGTTTTCTGACACCTGGCATGAACATCCGCTTAGTTGGCGAAGCGAATGACTATGTAGGCAAGGTAAGCTTGTTCGGGTTTCTTTATTTTACTCCAAAATAACTCAGTAGGTTACTATACCCTATGCTTTTGCTCATTTACCAGCCCAGACTCAAATCCAGTGACTTTTTTTAACCTTTCAATGTGACAAAAACTGCAAAATCTCATAATTCACCGGACCAAATTTAGCAGCCACAATTACATTTGAATTCGCCGCATGTCAACTTTAGCATCTAACATCGGCTGGCTCT